AACCTTTTCAGACTCGCCATCCCCCGGGCAAACACCAGCTCTTGTTCTCACTCCTTTTGGGGCTGCAGAAAAATAATCAAGCCGTTGTTGCGTTGCAAAGAGCTCAGACAGGGCAGGACTTGTTTAGCCCTGTGGAGATCTCTGCGACTCATAGCTGCACCCCTCCGCGGCACCCCCGAAAGCAGCTCGGGTCTTTTCAGGGGTGGTTGGGGTCCCGCCCTGCTCTCCGTGGCCCCAGGGCACGGTGGGGAGTGGGGGGACTTGTGCTCTGCTCACAGGGAAAGCTCCAGCGTGCTCAACGCCCCGTTTGCTGTTGCAGTTTGTTTCCCGTGCGGTGGGCAGAGAGGCCCGCCGTTTCCACCACACCTGCCATTCCCTGCTGTTTGCTAGCCGGTCTCTCCTCCGGGCCCGGCAGTGACCGGGCTGTCGCCTGGGGCTCAGGTTTCCATTGAAGTATTTTGAGCTTGGTTTCTGGCTGCCTGAATCCTGCCAGGCTGCAAAACCAGCTGTGCCTGCCCATTCAGTCTCTGATCGGCAGCACTTCTGCTGCTCGCTTGCTCTCCAGGTAGGAAAGGGATGTCCTGCCTGTGCCTTCCTCTCTGCTTTGCAGGAAGCCTGGAGGGTGCGGTGGGCTGGTCCTTACCAAGCGGGCAAGAGCCCAGGTCTGGCAGGAAGGCACCTGGCACGGGCAGAAGCGCGAGACAGAGGGGACCGGGCAAGAGGGATGTTGGGTCTGACCCAGTTGCTTCTGCTGCAGGGTGCTGGTAGCCTCGGCAGTCCAGGGAGCAGCGAGGAGGAGCGTGTGTCGGGTGATCCCTTCTCCTGGGTCTCTAGGAGAGATGCTTTGATGCACGAGCTCCGCTGGACCGGCCTGAGAGAGCTGGGTCATGAGGGAGGCACAGCAATGCTGCTCTTTGGTACAGCAGAGATGGCTGTAAAGCACACATATCACACGGTCTCCACAGCCACGGGCCTGATTCTCCCCTCTGCTGCTCTGGGAGCGGAAAGGGGGCTGCATGGGGCCTTTCAAAGGCATCAATGCGAACCAGGTCCTAGACACCAAATCCACCTCCCAGCTGGAGATGCCAGCAAGACCACTGGGAAATCCCTCTGAAGCGAGGCCCGGGGACAGGAGCACAGCAGCTGCCGTCTGGAACTTGCTTTGAGGTGGCGAATGGTCCGACGCACCTGGCGTGCAACTCTCCCAGATGCTGCGCGTTGGTGCAGGAACACACGTGCCCCAAGAGCAGGGGGTAACTGAGGACAGTGGCCTCTGTTGTAGGGATTATATGAGCGTGGAGAAACTCTGACAAGCAAGGAGCTCTCCCCTCGCTCTGCTAAACCCATTAAAGGTGCGGCTTTAGCAGCAAAGTGCATTCATTCCCCAGCTGAGAAAACACGGAGCCTGGCATCTGCTGCTGCAGAAAAACAGTGCCGTGTCCAGGACTATGCGGCACAGACTCCCCCGAAGCGGCATCTCTCCCCAGCTCTTTCCAAGTGGTTTCTAGTTCTCTGCACTGATGGCAGCTGCGGAAAAGGTTTGCGCTCGGTGGGTGGTCGAGGCCTTCAACCCGAAATCTGCTCTACTACCCTGCTGTCTCGTACCCTATATTGTACCATTCGGCCGGAAACCCCTCAGTGATGCTTAATATATATCATTATATCAAAATATATAGTTTTGGCAATTTCTCGTTTGGTTTAATAAAAGGTATTGTCTCTGAACTGGGAGTTCTAGATTTTTGCGTTTCTTCAATGATCGTTATGCATCCCCTGGTGAGCTGAGAAATCACTTCTTTTCCATATATCTCATCAGGGTTGACACAGGTAGTAGCTCCCCTCTTCTACAAGCAGCTCCTGAACATTGGCACAACTGCCTATACGGTACCCGCCACTTTTTCCCCTCTTAAGCTGGAAGTCCTAAGAGATCCCGGCATCCTAGGAGAAGCTGGATGCTGCCATCTTCTGGGGAGATGGTAAAATTTGGGGGAAAAAAGAATAAAAACCTGTCCACAGGGTGCCAGACCTCCATAGGAAGTGTTGCCGAAAGCCATGCCTGGCCTGCCCACGCCGGCACTGCCAGAGCATGGCCCCGTGTCCTGTACCACGGTGAGAGCAGCGCTGGGCATGCCCCAAAAGCAGCAACTCCGCGTTTTTTCTGCCTGCACAGAGCAGGACCCGGGGCCGGGATGCAGACGGCACGGTGTGGTGCCGGCTGGCTGTTAGCATCAGCCGTGTGGCTCGGGGCAAGAGAAGAGACCCCATTGTCCCCGCTGTGAGTCACGTGTAAGGTCGATGGTGCAAAAGGGATGATGCATGGGACGGCTCTGCAAAATATTTTGAACGGTTTCTAATTAGACATGTAGAGTTAATCAGATACTGACGGTCTGGAGCTCCTCGTGTAAGGGGGGGCATCGGCTCGCGACACCATGCCACTGTGACCGTCCCAGAGCTCCCAGTTCAGCTCTTTCACTCGCCAAGCAAAGCGTGGTGTTTCCTGGGAGGCTGAAGGTGCTGGTTGCGTGTGGCTCTGGGACGTTTTAGGCAATGCAAATGTGAGTGTTTGGCCAAGCTTTCTATCCTCGTGCAGGTTCACTGCAATTGGGACTGTCGCCGGACTAGAAACATAGCCTTTACCTTTCCACACGAGAAATCCTTAAGCAAGTACAAGTTACAGCGGCGTGTCTGACTGAGAGCAGTGGGGAACACACCAAGCAATTAAACCTTTCCCTCCCAGGAGTGCATCTGCCTTTGGCACAAATGGATTTGTCTCTCTTAGGTGCCTGCTATTTGTTGCATATATTATGCAGTTCAGTGGCAAATCGTGCAATAAATGTAGACCGGCCACATGTGCAAAGTCATTATGAAGCCATTAACTGGTGAATCATGCAATAAATTTAGACCGGCCACACACGCAAAGTAATGATCACACAATAAAAGTGACTGTTGAGCTATAAAATGAGTCAACCAGCTACAAATTTAGTGCTTGAAAATGTATCACAACTCTAGAGCTGGTTTCCATCCAGCTTCCATTTGAATGTGTAGCAGGGCCCATAGATCCTGGTTTTTAATATGCCACCCTCGGTGCCAGTAGGGTTTTGGGCACCTCTCAGTGGCACCCAGCTTACACGGCCACAGCTTGGGTCTAAGGATGATGCTTTCCCTGGTGTCATCTGGTCTAAATGAGCTTCTGCTCTTGTCACCCCAAGCACCAACCCACTTAGCTTGAGCCTGAGCTTGGTTTGCTGGGGGTGTAGAAAGCAAGAGAAACCAGCGGTGACTCTGAAAAGAATCTGGATGCAAAGCCCATGGGATGGGATGCCACCCAATGACATCACAGGGTTTTGGGGCAGGATCTAGGGGTACCAAAGTGGTGCTTGTGTGACTCAAGCAAGTGACTTCTTACACGGCCATTTCTGCAACCATGACCCCTCCAAAGCCTCCTTCAGCTCTTCCCCGAGAACAGAAATCCTGTCCTGTGCTAATTGTACCCTTGCACCAGCACTGACATTCCTGGGTATCCTTTTGGCAGGCAGCAACATGCTGCTACAGGGGTGTTCTAGGGGGGTGGCAGCGGTGGCTTTGACTGTGTTGGGTTGGGTTGGATTAAGTGTTGAGTTGGGTTGACAGTGTTAGGTTGTAAGGGTTGGGTTGGGTTGGGCTAAGTGTTGGGTTGGGCTGACAGTGCTGGGTTGGGTTAAGTGTTGGGTTGGGTTGTTAAGTGTTGGAGGCCTTCACTGGAGTGTCAGTCAGCAAATGCATTTGCACACACACCCTGTTGTTTGCCGCAGAAGGTAAATGTGAGCCAGTTAATACTCTGCCCCCTCCCTCCCCCAGTGAAGAACAGTGGGCTCCAGCCAGCCAGACATTACAGACAGCGCAGTGGCACACACTCAAAGGGCCAAGGCTGACTGTCTCTGGCTGGGGCACACTCAGACTGAAAGGTCTGTGTAGGGGATTT